GATTATTCTTTGAACTTTGTTGGCACAAACTGGTTTCCCCTGCTATTTTCTTAGCCACGAAAACACTTTGTTAAGTGAAAAATCTGGAAAACACAACAAAATTCATGGTGGCGGCCAAACTCCACTCCAACCAATTTAACATGCAGAGGCAGAACCGTGTGTATACTCATGTATGCACACATAAAATTGTGCACCACCATTTGCATCGATGTACACGTAATCTCATCGCTCCCTCTCCATCGATCTTCCTTCATCGCTTTTTTGTCATCACTCTTTTCAGATAACTCTTTCTCCATTGCTCTTTTTCCATGGCTTTTTTTCCATTGCACTTTTTCCATTGCTCTTTCATCGATCAAAAGAGAACGATTGATCGATGTTGAAGAACGATCGATCAACGTAGGGGACCGATCGATCAATGTAGTGGATCGATCGATGTTGAAAAAGGATTGATCGATGTATTAAATTGATCAATCGATGTTGAACAACGATCGATCGATGTAACGGAATGATCGACGTGTTGCCTCCGAGGTTTTGCCTCTTAGGCGTTCCATAGAAATCCCACATACATGTATATAAACAGTAGAATGAATTCCTCATTCCTCTGTGACCCACATGTACATGTACATGCACACACCAGTTTATAAATTTTTTCATCTGTTTGAAGAAATAACACTGTCATAAGATTGATGGATTGCTGATTACATGTATTTGTAATTATTAGTATGGAACAGGTCACAGTGGAGGTTCCATTGCATAGTCACACTGTCAGTGGTAAAAATGCAGCGCTCCACGCAGTGGTTACCAGGGTATTTTTAAATGTGGGGATGTACCGGTATTGTGTTTTTAATCATAACCTGGTACCACGTGGTCAAGTTTTGCAGAACCTAACTTCTACTAGTACCATTTTCAAGCATTGTTCACATCAATTTTCCCTGGAAATTGTCCAGTTTGAGTTCTTGCTCAATGCTCTTCCATAGCAGCTAAGAGAAAAAACTCCACTGCTCTTCAGAGGGTTTTACTGAAACCATTCTCATCTTATTGGAAGTTAGTTTTCATTTTGCATCACATTTGCACACTGAAACTGAGTGACACTTGTACTTCAACTTTTGTCACTTTGAATTATTTATAAAGTAAAAAAAGTAATACTACTCTGGTACATAAATTTAAAACATGACAACAAAGAATCCAGGACCTCTAATAAAAAGTATACATTATAAACAATATTCCTCATTATTTATTCACTCCATGATTCTGTTCACTTAGAGCAGCTGGAATTAATGCATTGGTCTTATGGCCCTTTTTTATGAAGATATCCATCAACAGCTTAGTAGACCCTATCTGATTGCTCAGAAAAAAAGTATTTAACTCTGGCATGGAATTACTAGTCAAGAAATGTTAAGAAGGGCCAGGAGCGACTCAAGGCCTTTGGCAATAAAGTCTCTGACCAAGTGGATTGATCTTATGTACATGTACATGTACACGTGTACATGTACATTACACGTGGTTCGTGAATGCACAGGGAATGACTTACACAGCTGTTTTCTGGATGTATTTTGATGTTTTCAAAAGAAAAGACCCTATTTTTTGTTATTAAAAACAGATTCTTAAAAAATAGGAGGCAAGTTAACCTTATTGTCTATTCCAAAGCAAGCACTTTTAGCTGTTCATTTTTTGTGTGATTTATTTGTTTGTTACAAATCAACAAATCGTAATTTAAATCAATGAACATAAACCAAGTACCGGTAAGTTGATTCTGGAGATTTAATTTGTATCTTCATAATTGATGTATACTGTGGACATGGCCATCCTACTTAGTTACAGGTGCCAAGGGTAAAATATGAGGTTTAAAACCAGGCTCTAAGTTTTGTCCAAAGTATAGGTCAAGGGATCTTGTTAACCAGGAGCTAATACAGGACATGTATGTTTCACTCCCATTCAACGTGTGGAAATTAATGACTTCGGCTGTGCACGGCAGTTACTTGACCAGACTTTCTTGAACCATACGCAATTATCCTTAACAACTTTCCAATGCTCTGTTGAGCCTTCTCATTTTGAAGACTTCATTTGCGCACAAAATTAACAAACGATCACATTGAAACTGTTTGTACATGTATGTGCTCTGTAAGGCTTAGATCGAATAAAATACCACAGAAGCATTAAAAGAAATGCAACATGAATATGAAATTTAGCTTCAAAGTGGTTGCTAAGATCATAGAATATTTCCATTTTCAATCAATCTCTTGTTCTTTTTTTTCCCACTAAATTTCTCAATTTTAGAAGTTTTCCCGGAACAGTGAGACACTGTATACGACAGGCCAGAAGCTCAACTACACAGTTGTCCTGTACATTCATTGTTTTTATTAATATTGTAGGTATTGAAGAGCTCAGAGGAGTGTATTCACCATATGTGAAACCCAGAAAACTTAGTAAATAAATCAGTTGAAAATTATAGAACAGTTGCAAAATTTCGAACAAATATAAACAAAAATGGGTTTAAATTATTGAAGGTAAGGAAAAAACATTAAATCAAGTGTAAGTTAATTTGGCCCTGCCAGCAACCCTCTGTTGTTTGTTGAAATCAAAAACAAAAACAAGAACTAAAGGTAAATAAACACACACACACACACACCAAATTGTTGATGAAGCTGTAGTGTACATGCTCAGGTACATAGTACATGTATGTATAGTACACGCATGTGTTTCACTGTAGGCACCCATACATGTACATGTACAGTACATGTGCGTGCACAATACCAGTACCGGTAGGCTAGTTGAAAACTTGTTCAGAGCATTTACTGTATGTTGCATCTTGGTTGCTAACCGGTAATTCAACTGAAACATCTTTGTGTAAAAATGGATCAGAAAAAAGTAGTACCCACTTCTAGCATCTGCTGCATCATGCAAGTTCTCTTATTGTACATGTACATGTATATTTCCAAGGTAGGCTTGTAGAAAAACTGATCATGTACATGTACAACACAGCATGCACTGCATTACATTTACCCCCTCCCCCAACAGGAAGCTAAAAATAGCCTGTATGTAATTTGATTTAAGATACTTGTATAATGGAGTGGGTTGTGTAGTAGGCCTGAGAATGGAGTGTGTAGAATCTGGCTTCGATCACTGGTGTGCTGCAATTTCCCATAATGCTTCCCTCTTTACATCATAGACAAGGCTTACCGGTATATCTATAAAATTTCCATTTTGAGCCTCTGTGGAATTGAGTGGGAAATGGAATTTGCCCATTATATAGTGGGAAAAGTGTCCCTAAGAAACCACTGAAGGATGGAAAAGAGTGGGCGCTTTACAATGTTCCGTTGTAGAAAGCAGATCATGGGCTTGAGCATTTTGAAAGCAAAGCATGAATTAGGCATTAGAATCCATAAAGGTGCTGCAGGTGTGCATTCTTGTTGTATTGAAATTTGTCTTTGTTTCTTGAACAGAAAATGAATGTATGCTACCTGTCATTTCCGGACTCCAATTCAGGTCAGTAATGTTAAATTTGCTTGTCACTGCATACATGTAAGTCATGTTAAAACTCAGGAACAGTAGTGAGTAGCAAAATAAAGATGTCCAGTAAGGTTCAGAAGACTTTTCCATGGTGTCAAGTTACAGTTTTCAAGCGATTACTTGTCATGTTGCCTTTGAGAAAGATTCTGCTGGGGTTAGGGGTCAGGCCCTTCATATCTTGTTGAAGTTACGGTTTAAATTGAATATACATGTAATATTCATTTATTAACTTATCACAAATAAAAGTTTATCTTTAATGTACTCTCTTCATAAGGAAGCTGACCCTTTATGTAAAACCAATCTGCCATAGTTAAAAAGGTTCATGTAAAGACTTGGCACTCAAATACATTTGTGGATAAGTCACCTGTAAAAGATTAAACTGGTGGAATGACTGCATACAGTGTAACTCCAGTAGTCTGGAATGTGTGGATTGAGGAGGGTTAGGGTTAACCTTTGACTATTAAGAGCAGAGCCAACCTACATGTATTTAGTCTTTTGGATGTGCGTGTGCACCAATATTGTGCAGGTTGTATGGGAGACACACAGTTCAACTTTCGAATACGCCAGTGCCACAGCAGACCCCACTCCTACAACAACAGGAAAGTGTATGATAGGAACAGTCCAGTTACATTACAGGTAATCACACAGGGAGAATACCTTGCAGCTGTCTTACTAAAATTCATTCGTTAGGAAAGAGAGAAATGGTTCTCGTCCATCTGCCCTACCACTATCGGCATTTAACAACTGAAAAAGAATGTGGAAATCACATTCTAGATACAGGTTAAACAATAGAGATTACGTGTTCATGAAGCCAAATATGAATGTGAAACCTTCAAACCTGTAACCTTAGATTTGAATATATTACCTCCAGGACACTGTCTTGGCATTGCCCTCTGAAGGTTGTAATTTCACAGGTGGCGTTATAATAATTTACCATTAATAATTGAATATCTGAATATGTGCTTTGGAGTTATCAAAAAAGTAATTGACATGATTATTGTTGAAATGCGTGCCTGATTTAAAGATGGCTATGGGACTAAACTACCTGTGAAATCTTGCAAGCTGGTAATTTTGAAAAAAATGAAAGGTCATGTCCAGTGATGAGTCTAAAGATGCATTTTTTTGAAACTTGCCATTAGAAGTGCGTGCTCAAGCATACAAGCGATTAATCATTTCAGAACATGACATCACATTGCTGCACTTGACTGAACGTGAGAACATGTCACAGACGCTGAATTCAGGCACAGTTCAAAACATGACTAAGCAACTATTGATCTGAAATCCAAATCCTAGAAAATCTGAAAATTTACAGAATTCACTGATCGTAAACTTTATCAGGTTTGCTTTTAGGCATCCTTTAGATTTTGAGTAATTTTGATGCCTTAAAGGAACATAATGCAGAAATGACAAATGAGGGACTGTACCTGTTAAAGACAAAAGGAACTGCATATCATGCAAAGTCTAATCAGCACATTTTTTGTTTTGTTCACATTAGAGTGATACTGGCCATTACTATGGCTTTGTGTTCTTCCGACAAATCAAAGACAAAACATCACGGAGAGGCTATTTCCAAAAAGTAAGTTTTCTAATAGCTTCATAGTCCTAGCAAACCCTTTGTCTCCCAGATTACTTGGCTGCAAAAGGTGAGTTTATATATTTATATGAAAAGTTTAGAGATTTAATTGGATAATTCATTTGCAGCTCCAGATCTGTCAATTTGCAAGAATGTATTTTTTTTTAGGGGGAGTACTTTTAAACTTCAGCCATTTAAGTTTGAAACTCCAGCTAGAAACATATTTTACTTTCTAAATTGCCCTTCTTTTGCAGTCACTGGTACTTCTGTCAAAGGTTCCCTACATCACACTCTTCACACGTCTTGCCAGCATCATTGCACCTGGATATTTTGAGTATGGGGAACCATCAGTAGAAGCTGGTATGTACTGGCAATTTGTTCTGTGAACAAGAAGATGGTTACCAGCCAAAGATATGAATGTGTTTTTTCCAACTAGTCATCTGGCTTCTTTTCTCCATTCTCAGCACGTACACATTGGTTAAAACTTCTTAAAGCGATGATTTCTGCCCAGAAGCTGAAGAAAAGATTAGGTATAGTTTGAGTCCAACAAATAAGCAAATAAACTGGACACAGTGGTTAATCTTGCCACCTTTCTCCCGCACTTACCAGCTATACAGTGCTTATTGCAGTATTTTGCTGGTGTGAGCCAGTTACTCATTATGTTTTTTTACACAGCATATCATGAGGTTAAACATCAGACAAGCCCAATCAAAATCAACCAGTTTAATGCATTTTTAACTCAATGCATGTTATGAGATTAACCAGTGACATACTGGTACATACCGGTATGCCCAATCAATATTGACCAGTCATATGCTCTTTCTATTCTAGCATGTCATGACATTGACCAATGGCCACCACCAGCACCTGGGCAGCTTTTACATCTGCCTATCATGGGCAGAGTATTACAGATAAGAATACCAACAAAGCAGGATAAGCTAGGATCCATATCTGCAGCTGTCAAGACAACACCAGAGGTACGTATGTAGAATGCACTGTGGTGCTTTCATTATGAGTGCTAAGTGATGGCACTCCTGTGATATTGGTACTATGCCACAACCACTTTTCATTGGAATGCAATGTGATCAAAATAATACATTTGCATGTAATTTATATTTTGGTGAAGTATGAATCAGGCCTTGAAGTGAACATCATGGTAAAACTCTTGGTGTGTGTTTATGTTGCAGCATGGTGGTTCTCAGCCAACCATTGTGCCATCTGTTCATGAAGTGGAGCCTTTTCGTTGCCTGCAACCAGTCTTACCACATATACAGCTCATATGGGAATTAATACTTACTGGAGAGGTATGGTAGTCCGTAATTTGTGACTGATTGAATTTGATTTGTGCCATATAAACCAAGACACTTCATGAGGGATGTGAGTGCAGGAAGGTGGTATCTGAAATGAGCAAGTGTGCTTGTTGCCCCTTTTGTAGACAAACAATTTTTGATAAGAATCACTTCTCTGTAAATGTGTTCCTGCCACTTTACACTTTTGTCTCACTGTTTCTCTGCTTGCAATGGTACTGTGGACTCTGTCTTTTTTTATTAGAGCCTGAAAAATGAAATCCAGTTTAGAGATAGATATGCTTAGCAGTGTGTGCACCATACGTAAAAGGGTCATTCTATAAATTTGGGGTCCAAAGTGTGACTTTTTCTGTCCCAGAAACCTCTGACATGTATACCATCTGATACCATCTGACGAGTTTAGCAAGGGATGTATCACTGAAATTGATTTCAAACTATTTTTATTTGTTTGGCAGGTAATTTGCAGTACTTACTCAGTCTTGGAAATTAAACAATGAGTTCTAGACATAAAAATCAAATGCCAGACGTAACAGGGACAGGAAAAAAATGGACCCCAAATTTAGAGAATTAGAGAATTCTCTAAAGAATGACCCAAAAGCAAAGTTCTTTCTTTTCCAGTGACGCCCAATACAATACATGTCATGTGACACTTGTTTTCCTCTTTCCTGCATTAAGAAATCCTTGCTGCATACTCGGTTTGTTGACTGTTGTAGAGGACATGTAATTAGATTTTCCGTGAGTGGTAGAATGATGGCTGTCGTAACATTGTTCCTGGGTAATTCCGGAAATTAGGGGTTCCTTTTTATTTTGTGTCCCTGTTACATGTACATCTGACATATGATTTTGTAAGTTCAGAACGCATTTTCTAATTTCCAAGAGTAATGCTTTAATGCAAATAACCTGCCAAACAAATAGTATTAATTTGAAATCAATTCCAGTGATATTTCCATGTCAAATAACAAAGGTCAGATGTAACAGGGAAATGAAAATGTCACACTTTTGGACCCCTAATTTCTGGAATTACCCTCCTCTGTTTGTTGGCACTTCCCTTGTCATAGTTTTGATGAAGCTGTTAAAAAGAATTTCTTGTGTGGAAAAAGGAGAATGAAAAAGTTTTTCTTTGTTTTCACAGCCTGTTGTTGTCATGGCACCCTCACCATCTATTTGTTCGGACACAGTTCATGCATTGGTCCATTCTATCTCACCACTCCGCTATATGTCTGACTTCCGGCCGTATTTCACCATACATGACAGTGAATTTAAGGAATACACTACAAGAACACAAGCGCCGTAAGTACATGTATCAAGATATTCGTTTAATGGCTGACATTGCATCAAAGCTTTATTTGTTTCTGTGAATCTGTTCAAGATGAGAATGGGCCCAACTGTTCCAGTTTCTTCAAATTCCATCAGGAGCTTTTGAGGATTTTCAGGATTACGGAAGATAGAGCACGACCACTGTGATCCCTCATGGGGCTTGTTCCCCTAAGACGTTTAAGTACAAATAACATATCAGTGGTTTTCTACATGGCACATTGTAGAAGCATGTGGAAGAACTTAGGAAGGTTCTTATCAAAAGTGATCTGGGTGTTAAGGTAAAATACCAGTCTGAGCCAATTCGGCTCATTAGAGTGGTGTTTATGTACAATTTCTGTGGTATGGAATTATTGATAATTTTTAATCTGCCCCTGGATGGGATGCCAGTTCATCCCAGGTGCCTTCCAGCTAATTCTTATACCCATTTACTCTCCTGATTGGAGAGAGGCAAGTACATGTAAGAGTGAAGTGGCTTGCCCAAGGACACAACATATGGCTAGCAGTTGGATGTAAATCCATCACCTGTGGTCATGAGTCACAAACCTTAACTAGGAAGCCACACTCCCCTTGAGTTCGGGTTAATCAGAAATGAGAATTGATTGGTGCTAAAGTGCTGCTTAATAAGCTTTGTAGGGTATAATGGGGGGGGTGGTCGCACTCCATTTCAAGTAATTATTATACATTGTAGATGGTACAGTATCTGTACGAAGTAGTTTATTTTGTTTTTGTTTGTAACCCTTAAATTTCATTGGAATGTCTTCTCATCAAAATCTAAATTTACTGCAATTACCCTTTACTGCTTGAGAGAATTAGCCAGTTACTCTGCCAGTATTAGCCACGTTGGTATTGTAAGAAGTACAAACATATATATTGAAAAAAGTACAAACATATATATTGAAATATGTAGGCTCATCCTGGAGTAATTCTTCTTTGGACAGGAATTGTGTTTACCACGACTTAATTTGTTAACAGTCGATATCAGAGTCTTGTTTTAACTATTTAAAGTCAATCAAATGTGCTTTTTTTGTGTGTGTGTTTAGTCCGTCGATTGTACTGGGTGTAACTAACCCATTCTTTGCCAAGACGTTGCAACACTGGCCTCATGTAATCCGGATAGGAGAACCAGTAAACACAGGTATGTCTGTTGAACACATTGCTAGGCTAAGAGCTGAAAATTGTCTGTTTGCAGTTTGTCTATTGCTGTTGCTATCCTTGGCTGTTTTCCTGTTGACACTTCTTGTATTTAGAGTTATTTCATGCAACTAAGAGTCCACATTAGAAAATTTGTTTGGGCTCTGCATTTGTGGGATGAAAATACTTTGGAGGGGAAGAAGTAATCAATATAGATGTTTTAAACCTGTAGGTTTGTAGTCCTAGTAACAGCTGTTTTGTGTTGTAGTCATTTTAGGTAATTTTGGAGGCTGGGTCAGTAAATTTTGTAAAATCTTAATGATTCTATCAAAAATAAGAGTGTTTATCATTCTTTGTATCCTATGTATGCCAACATCAACATACTTTCGTAATACATAATTTCAATTGTTTTCCCTCAATTTTAGAGAAATCTAACTCCAAGATGTTGAAACCAAAGAAGCCAGGTAGCCTGAAGACACTTGAGTCTAAGCCAGGGTTGTATACACAGTACAAACCCTTCCTGAACAAGGACAAAACAATTATTAAGAGATTGGCAAAGGTAATGGCTCAAGCAAGCATATGACAGGGATGGTATCAGTGTTATAGGACTCGAGTCTCGACTTGGACTCAAGTCCATGTTTGGACAGACTAGGATTTGGACTCAGTTTTTTAGGACTTGACCTTGGATTTTGGACCTGGACTCGAACTAGTGGGACTTTGACTCAAATCAGTGGGGCTCAAGCTTGCTTGGTTGACTTGACAACACTAACTCATATGGTATCATTCAATTTTAGTGTTGATTTACTTTTGTACAATGAAGAATTCACTGATATTTGACATAACAAGCATAAAAATTAAAGGAAAATATTCACTATGGAAATGATAGTCCTTCTGGAATTTAAAAGAAATATACTCATTGATTCAATGATAGAAAGTTTGACTGGCCATTTTTTTTTATTATATAATTGACTGGCCATGTTTGTGAATTTGAGTTCTTTGCAACTATTTTGATCATTTGTGGTGACTATGTTTTCTTGTTTCTTGAAGCAAAGATAGTTCAATTAAAAAAACCCTCTCATTATGTGTAGGGTTTGCAAACCAAACGACCTCAGGAAGTACAAGATGCCATGCTACGACGGCATCTACTGGAACTGACACAGAGCTTTATGATTCCACTAGAGAGATATGTAGCTAGCCTGATGCCTCTGCAGAGAAATATCTCACCATGGAAGGTTAGGCCTGGAGAATGGTACTGTAGTTATGAAGAATACAATTTTGAGATTTGAATATCTTTCAGTATAGCAGAAAGAGCTTTCTGTGAAGTATCCAACAATACAAGTGATATTCAGTTTATTCATGTAATTTAGTGCTAAAATATGGCAGTGTTGAGTCTCCCGTGGGCTTACCAACAAAAAAATCAACATAAGGGTTTACTGAATTGTGCATTGAATTTACATTGGGTCAACACCAGTAGTGTTTGTGTGTTATTGAAATCAGCCAACGTTTGTATACGTGTAGCTAACCATCATGGCAGGCTCTTGTTATGCATATTAGCCATGTAGTAGATTATCTAATTTGTTTTGATTTTGTTTCTGTGTGTGAAAGTGCAAGTGTTTCATAGTTGACTGTGAAACTCAATTCTTATTTTGTCAGAGCAGGTCGCCATATTTTGATTGAAGTTGAAATTAAAACCCTTGAGTCTAAGAAAGGGGCCCAGATTCATGGTCTTTGATATTTTGTTGTTCTTTAGCATCCTCCACGATTGAAGCCCTTTGATCCAGAGGCATTCTTGAAGACATTGGAACATTCTGGTCCTCAGCTGACTTCAGGTCTCAAAGGAGACTGGATTGGCCTCTACAGGTAAGCACCATGTTCATGAATACAACTCAGTCTCCAATCAGCCCTGCCTTAGTAATGTTCATGTACTTTAGTGCCCTCAAGCTGCAGGGTGAAAAATGTTAAAAGTGCATTTTCAGTTGGTGTGTGTGGTGAAATTGGCTGCAAGTACTTTAAAATTAGTAGATATGACCGTCATGTAGACTGAGGATTCAAGGTGACGGCCTCATCAGACCAGAAGTTATAATGAAAATATTTAAGCAGACACACATTACTAATGTCCTGTCCCACCACACATCACATACATTTGTACTGACCCTGCATAGCCTAACGATTGAACACAAGACAGCAGATGTTGACCTATTAAACAGCGCATAGGTAATGAATGCCCACGGTAGAGGGGGGCTGTTCCATTGTAATTACTGTTTTAAGCAAACCTACATGTACATTACTAATGGAACAGCAAAACACTGTACATTAAGAATTCATATTTGTAACTTTAATGAAATGCCATAATAGGAGATGTACTGTTGAACTAAAACACTTTGATTAGGGTAAACATTGCTGTATAAATGTGAAAATCTCAAAAATTGGCACCACTTAGGTTTCTATGATAAACAAGAAATCAATCGTTTGCAGCATGTATGCACCCAGCATCAGGAATGCAAATCATAAAGAATGCTTCACTTTGAATGAAATTGTGATTTACCTGTGCAGAATGCTACTTAAGAATCAGACCACAACTTGCACAAAGGGGTCCCATCTCAACAAGGCTTGAACGATCACATTACTTGTAGCTAAACAAGTTATTTACAAAGTGTTTGGAGTGTTTGAGTGAACAAACATGTAGCGGTCCAATAACACTGCTGGGCATTCCCAGCGGCCAATTTTCCTAGCTACATCAGGATCTTAGCCTGTGTCAATTGCCACTGTTGCTGCTGCTGTGGACTGGAAGGATTTGGCACTGTAGCCCCGCCCCCAAGACCAGCCAGTCCTAAAGCTGCATTACGCTGATCAGTAATACATGCAGCTGACAATGCTCCATATGGTCTCCAAAGAGTGATGAACAGTGGGTCCTCCTTGCATAACATCCGATGACTGTGCAATTTGTGCATGTAAATTTGTTGACCAGAGACTGGGTCCCCACACAAATTATCTGCTGCTGGGATGGTGACCGAAAAGCCTTTGCAATGAATGTCATTCTTGATTCCAAAGAACTGGATTGAAAGTATTCCACTCTCGTGGAAGGTAAGCTGATTTCTGCGCATAACCATAAGTTCACTAGGCCTACCTTTGTTGACCAGTACACCTGTAGGTGCAAGGTCAGATGGCCTTGCCATAACTGCGAGAGTCAACAGCGTGATTGCTTTCAAGCATAGGCACTTTAAGTCCAGTTGCTGATTGTCACCCTAAGATTGGAAGAAACTGACAAATGGCTGTATTGGCATGGCGGATGAGCGTGTCACTGGCGCAGTGGTACCACTCTTGTCAAGAGCGGTAATCAGTCTATGAAGTTCCACAGAGTTAGTGGGATTACTCTTTCCTGGCAGCACTTGGTAAAGGGCTGTCAACGCAGCCATGGTGGTACGCAAGACTGCTCGCGGCTTAGGGAAGGAGTCTGTCACAAGGCAAAGACACTCCGCTGCTGTGGCGGTGTCATAAGGTGGATATTTTAATTGTCTTTCTGCACAGAATTTATGAAGGCGTTGTAACTGGCGATCATATACCCTTAGTGTTGAGGGTGCCCAGCTACTGGTAAGTATGTATTGTGAGCTGGCCCTCGGTGACCAGTCTAATAGTCTTAAGTGACTGCTCCAGATAATCGCCAAGCCATTAGTTGCCATGGACATTCCTTGCAGTATTTGATACCAGATTTGAGCTGGCCAACGTGGGGTGATCAATGTTACTGCTGCATGTTGCTGCTTTAGTGTCTCTATCACTTTTGGGATGAGCTGGGATGGAGGGTTTACATAGTTGTGTCCTGTGTGCCAATTGTTCAGCGCCAAAGCGTCCACTCCCTCTGAATGTGGATTAAGCCACTCCCTCTGAATGTGGATTGAAGAAGCGACTGTTGTAATTAGGGAGCTGTGTGTTAATGAATGTTGCAAAGCGATCTGTGACGTGAGGGCCTCATTTTCTGTCCGGGAGAGGGCATCTTCCACGGTGTGTTGTTCCGTCTTGCTAAATACCGCGCAGTGATGGCGATATTGTTTTGGAATGCTAATGCCAATATCGCTGTTGATATATCCAATAGTTCTTGTACTTAGCCCTCTAAATGGTTCGGGTAGCCCATTATGTTGATGTTGTCAGATACAACTTCGATTGACTTTCCTGCTTTTATCAGCAGGAAAGAATGAAACGCCAGAAGAACTGCACACATTTCCTGATAATTTGAGGGCATATTGCTCAACCTTTTATTCCAAAATCCTGCCGCGAAACAACTTTTGAGGTATCCCCGTGGAATTGTGATATGACAATTACCACCTCGTGCTCACGCTGATTATAATCCAAGTTGGTTTTCAAGATCACAGCCAGCTGGTCCAAGAATGCTTGCTCTACACTGTCATTCTCTGGAAGATGTGCCTAATCTAGCTGCAGCACTTTCAGAGCTGTTTCCATGTAGCAACTGCTCTTTTGTAGCAGAAAGTCAAAGTTCCCCTTCAGTTTTGTTGTTTGATCCTGACTAGCAGGGCCCTCACACAGCCTCAAGGAAGAGTCCAGTTGAACCTGTGAAAAGGTATCCTTTACTGCGCTGAACTCCTTTTGGATGTCGACTTTGCTGATGGTGGCCGCTCTGGGTTCAGTGGTTGCTGTGTTCACCTGATTGTTACATGTGCAATGTGGGCTTGTCTTCCTCGTGTTGTGTCTTGTCGACTACACTCACACTACTTTTGTCAGGGTCGATTTCCCCCAAATTTGGGCCGATCCTCGTTCCCAGCACTGCCAATCTCTTCTGGATGTCACTGACTGAGTACCGTCACAGGTTCTGTATTTGCATCCAAATCGTGTTCTGTAAAGAACATTTTGTGACAATATTGCAATTTTTTTATATCATCAAAAGCTGGATCAAGTGGTGTTTTACAAAACTGCCTCATCCCCCGGTAAAAAAACATCTTGCCTATTCTTGACTTGCTCATCAAATGATAGAATTTTGGGGAACTGCATCATTTGACTACGCTGCATGCCACAGGCTGACATGTTACTGATCAGAAACAGCGACTTGGGTGACTCTTTTACTTTGTCCCATTGCCTTAAATATGTATTTTGTTCAAGAAATTAAAGACTGCTGGTGCTGCTTGGATAAATCACACTCATGTCAAATCCATCCATTAGATGAAATATATGAATAAAATAATGACTATGCACTGTTTTGTAAATAGCACTGATCTTGTGGTTTCTTCCAGCATTCCAAGGCCAAGTTTCTCTCTTGCAAAAGTGATTTTTACTTCCACACTCTAATATGATGATTATGATTAATATGAAGGAATGCAAAGGAATGCGAACTCCCTTTCTGTGCATGCGGCATAAACTTACAAGTTGAATATTGCATGTAGTACCTATAGGAACTGGATCAGAGGGTGTACAAGATATACTCGATTTCGTGCAATTATGTGTTTCATATTGCACTGGTGCATACACATGCACAATTTTGCTTGGAATATCTGAAAAGAAATGTAAGATCCCAAGACCTTTTTTGTGGTCTCAAAACCTGTCAGTGACTTACTATTCTGTCGTATGAAATGTTCAGTATTCAAAAAACCTCTCAACTTCAATATTCTCAATTATTACAATTATACTTATGGTGATTGAATTAAACTACCGGGTACAATTGAAGGATTTTCCACCCAATCGGTTAGCACTTGTTCGTCCCACTTCAGCTTTCCTCTAGTTTATAACTGATATGTATGGTTAGAATTGAAAGTTGACCAGAAAATGTTTCAATATTTCTTATCAACAGGAAGTTCTTCAACAGCAAGAACTTTGAAGGCTGGTTGTGGCAGCGTCAAGTGGAGGTCAACCACAAATTGTCAGTGTTGCATCTGGAGGCTTTGTGCAATGCTGATCTGCTGCAGTGGACCAGCGACAAGCAAGAGGTCCAGGTCGTTGACCTTGTACTCAAACTCAGGGAAAAAATGGTGAGTCCCAGTCGTGCTTTATATGATTTATCCTGTTGAAAAGTCAAATTTAGTTCCCTCCCCTTAGTTGAGTTTGAGGTAGTACACTGCATACTAGCATGCTGCTAACCTAATGTCCCAATGTATACTGGTACATGTACAGTATGCCATGGGTTATTGTATTGTCTGCAGTGTTGCAGTTGGTGAATTTCATAAAATTCTTGGTAGAAAAAGGGGGGGAGGCTAGGATTGCTTATTTTGCAGAATCAAAGTCATGACATATTTCTGAAATACAAATCACAAGTTATTCAACTGACAAAAGCATTCCTGCAGTCTTTTGTCATTGTGATTTGACTTCTAAATTGACTTTTCTTGTAATGATCGACTAGATTAAAACACACCTGCACTCAAAAATCCAGACAGGACAATGCAATAACTGCCATAAATCATTGCGTGTGATGTGAAAAGTGGAGATAAAGCAAAATACTTACTACCTTCTTCAGTTTTACTTCAGTTAGAGCTCTATTGTAAAATTTGTTTGGAAGTTTTTTTAAAAGAGCACTAAATCATTGAAAAAAAATAGTTTATGTATTTTTTCAATACAATTTGTTTCCACAGGCTGACATATTGGACCAAAATCTTCAGGTGAAACCTGAACTGGAACAAAAACTGACTGTACACATTGATGCCATCATAAGGACACTACCTGCTGACTTACAGGCAGTGCTCAACAGCCAATAGGGAAGTGCCTAGAATGAAGAACAGCCAACAAGAATGCACCAGTTAGGACCTGTCAGACGCCATTGAGGTCATTCGCTGATTGGTCAGAACAATACCATTGGTACGGGCTTAACAACTCCTGAGACAGAATCTTGGTTAGGAATGAAAAGGATTATGGCCGAGTCAAACAGATAGGACACAAAGGGATGACCATTAAAGGGTGTAGTGACAATTGTATATTCATGTCAACCGATCACCGCAAACTATTTCAACTGCACCCCAGAAGTTATCGACAAGGGTCAACCGAGGGTGTTTTGTAATAAGCCTGCACCAGCTGTATTGCTTGATGTGCTGGAGACATACTATCATTCATGTTGAATGAAAGAAAATGGGACTTGCAGACATAAGGGAGATTTTGCATCTTGCAAGAACTAATGAGATGCGCATTTCCAGTATTTTAAGAAACAAGGTGTGGCTTTCTTCAGTGCTAAGGTTGTGACTGGACTGTTTGAGTGTGTTCACCACAGTCAGTGATATTGAAGAACTACACCAGGTTTGAGCAGATGTGTGCTACCAGCCTACAGAAGTGCTTTTATGAATTTAATGACATGCTGGAAAGTTTATTGTACCTAATGAAACTTAGCCGAGCTGATATGAAGGTGAGGAGGGGGAAAGGGGCAGGGTAGAGGAGAAATCCCCTCGCCCAAATAAATGAATTAATAAACATTTTGGTTAGTATTTGAAATGCCTGAATATAATTACAAATGTTTTGCATACAGTGTATTTACTTTGCAATGATCATTGTCAACATTTTTATAAATTATCCAGAGTTCAGTGCATGAATAAGAATGCATGTGCATAGACAAACTCTGTTTCTTGTACTGTTTTCTGGTTGTCCACAAAACTAAATGTGCGAATCAATCTCTTCTAAATTAAAGCTTATGATGATTATATGCAGCAGTTTACAACGACTGTTGTGAACAATTTGAACTGGTTAATGAATAGTGACCTCTGTATTAACGCAAGTGGTTACCAGGAGTCTTGGGCACCATAAGATACGTATTTTCAGAGCTATTTTTATGACATTAACGTCAGCATAAATGCAGAAGATACACTGCAGATTTAAGTTAAGTTCCACTTTTTAATCTTGAACCATCTACTAAACCTCAGTATTTTCCTTTGAAGTAAATGGTATTTTAGATGCAACTGTGTACATACCTTCAGACACTCTGAGATGCCATTGTAAAACTCTGAGAGAAAATCTGGTGGGTTTTTACAAAACATTTACAAACCTTTTATTTGCACAAGAAATTGTGCCAAACTGATGTGTCACACATATGGAATTTTAAGGGGAGTTTGAGGGAAACCCATGATAATGACTGATCACATTGCAACTATCCATTGCAAGCAATGTACTTGTGTGTTGTCTGTCATACAGTTGTATTCAGTCATTTCATGTTTTTTGAAGCCCAAATTTCAGACAAAATGTTGTCATCCAAAATACATGATTGACTGAATTACAAACATTATCTTCCATAATCTTCAGCTCCGTGTATGATAAGTGTGGTAAAATGTCCCTAGATATGAATGTCTGTAAATAGACCTGTAACATAATGGCATTAAGCTTTGTTTACTTGAGCACTTTCCTATTCCAAATAAGGTAGGATATGACTCGTCCAGCTCCTAAAGGAAAGCACACATGTGAACAAAGAGTGACATCATTGTTTAAGGTCTTATTCTCATCATGTCCTTTTCAACAAAATTACATGCAGTGAAGTAAGCAACTTGTGTTTCAGGAGATTTTAACTGAAAATCTTGTGGTGAGAATCTCTAATTTTTAATGCGTCACAGATTTTTCTCATGTGAATGATGCAAGATTACAATGTGTGAATAATGCAAAACATGATTATCCAGCTGACTGCCTCTTCTGAGCAATTATGCACACAGTTTATTTATTTGTAAATATGCTAAAAATTTACAGAATTCACACATAAACACGGCTTGAAAGTGAACGCAAACAAAGTTGACTTTGCAAATATTTGCAGTAAAATTGGCCAATCCTAGAATGTGTTAACTGCTTTCAAATTTGTCGTGTTGCCATGATGTCACAAATTTGCATTTATTCACTCTTAGCTTGAACTGGCCAGAAAACTGGTCTTAACTTAGACTTTCAGAGCATGCTGATATTAAAGATTTAAACTGCAGTTTTGTCCAAATTTACACGTACAGTATCTCATGTTCAGGTTACATGCCATTATTTTGTTCATTGATATCTCATGTGTTTGGGTTATTTTAGGGTAGCGTAGCTTTTTTATGCAATTGCCATACAAAATAACTATTTTGTTCGTTGTGAATTTTGAATATTTTTTGCAAAGACATTATATTTGTTTTGGGCAGATTAACAAAAACCTTGCCTTTTATGCAGTATCTTTTTAATCTTGTAAACTACTTAACTTGAAAATGGTTCAAAAGCTGCCTTTCCATTTCAGTGATTTTTCTGTCCATTTAGTAGCAAGGCTCATAGTGTGGAGCACTTTAGCAAAGTGATACAAAAATCAGCCAGGGAATTCACCTGTGGAAAGACAGCTTGTATTCTGTCAAATTATGCAGCAAGTTAAGTGTACCACAGTGGCTATGTTTGTAACAGGTACATCACCAGTTGGCATCTTGCACAAAATGCCACCGTTGGAACATGTCTGATGAAGTCTCAGAACCAGTGCCGAAGAAGCCATTTGTAAGTTATATTTGAATAAAATCTGCGTTATCTGACTGCACATAAACATAACAATTTGAATTCCCAAGACTTAAGACACTGTTGCTATGCCTCGTGATTCAGGGTTAGATTTTGCATAGCACCCACCATCTCTGGAATGGACTAGTTCCTTTGTGCCCTTCTTATCCACTGAAAACAGTGTATTATTGCAGGGTGTCACTTATGTAACTAAGCAAAAGCTTGCCCCAAATCACAAGGTTATAGCATTAGTGTCTTAATATGGAGAATTCAAATTGTTATGTTAACGTGAATTTAAAGAACTCAGTGTAGCAGATATTATTTAAATTTAACTTGCAAAATTCTTATTAGGAACCCTCCCAGTCACGATGGGAGTAGTTTGTCAGCTGTTCAGGGTCACAAGCCACAATATTTCCACCGTATCCTGGGGCTTTCAGAGTGTACTGAATCTTGTGCTGTGACTGCTGTATATGCAGATTGTTGGCTGCCTATGAATTGTGAGTCACATTGGTGTAGTGGTTCTTTCCTCACCTTCCATCTCTGCAGTCCAGGTTCGATTCCCAGCTTGGTCCACATGTGGATTGGGTTTTACCCAGAATATTCCTCTGGGGTTTTCCTCCCACCTCTAAAACTGATCTGCTTCTCATTGTCTCCTATCTACAGGTTTCTGCAGGCTTGAAAGCTTTTGTGCCCAGGGCACTTTTGAGGAATCCTTTTTTGACTCAGTGTTTGTTAATGTTAACTGAAACTACACTGGCTATCTTTGAATGTGGACACTAAAGGTAGTGCAATTACTCCAATGTGCTGTCACTTGACAAGGGTAACTTCTTGCAAAATCCCCAAAAGTTTGCTGTGGGTGAAGGTGGAATAACGAACAGTGTCAGAATATTGTGGCTGTTGTACAACTTGCCCCAGATTATGCTACATACATGTATGTGTACCTATTAAGCAGTGGTGTTTCACTCAGGGAGGTCATGGCATAGATAGAATAAAAAATTGTACAGTTCAGAGTATCTTACTTTATTCTTGAATTTCAAACTGACTGTATCACACAGTTGCATGAGAGTAATCTCTCATTAAAAAGGTTTCATTCTTTCCATTTTTTATTGAGCCAAAAGTCTCTCAATGTTCAGACAGATTTGTGGAATACCCAGTGCACAGAAACAATCCAGGAAAGACAATGGAAATTCCACTTAATTTTGTCTTTTTCAAAACACCTTTGTTTAAATTTTAAAGGAAAGGAATTCTACTTTCTTATGCAGAGTTTCACTAAAGTCATTTCCAAAGTTTTAAGACCACCTGGAATTTTTTGGTAAAATTACATGTAAATGAGCTTTTTAATATGTGATTGCCAAACAGCTAGCCTTCTGTTCTACGAGACCTTTGAACGGGCTGTTTTAGGTGAATTTTCCTTCGTATTGAGACAATAGAAGGCTCATAAACAGTGTGCTGGATAGTATATCCTGCATTTTGAGTAAGATCTAAGAGGTCACAACTCTAAAACGGTAGGTCCTTTAGCATATTTAACCACTTCCTGCCGGGCATTCTGGATCCGGACACATGCTTTATATGCATGGCTGGGGTCTCCGTACTCGGACAACGGGAACAAGGCATTGTAACAAAAGACCGTACTTGAAACAAAAGACCAGGCTGCTGGGCATTACCGACATTTTTTCCCTCTCAATAGTGGAGATAATCCTGCCTTGTTTTGAAACAGTATACCACGATTTGGGGCATTTAGAGCGAGCAGATTACCACCGGAGACAAAAGCGCTCCACCACCGCAGCAATGAGCCACACAGCACCACTGCATGCTAATCTGGCCCCTATTGAAAAGAGGTCAGCAGTGCACTGAGCCAGGTTTGTGAACAAAACAAAGTTATATAACACCGTACAATCTGGGCTCTTCTTGCAAGGCTGCAGGCCTGGCTGAAATACTCAGGCGTCAATAGATTTTGTCTGTCAGGCTAGAGTGGACACCAGACAGTCCTTCACGTGTTTGTAAGTGTCCAGTAAATGAAGATAAGAATTTTTAAAGAATTTTGAAAACAGAAAAAAATGATAATTATCCTGGACCAGCATCATCAGCATTGATAACTGCCCCTGGCAGCAAGTGGTTATAGAAAACTCTTCACATAAATATCTTTCAGGTGTAAAGACATCACCAATGTTTGTTACCTCAGATGATTCTAAGTGGCGATAAGGATGAAGTAATGCAACATTTGCTGAAGTGGAAATATTTTTCACAAGATAAAATGAAGTGCGTTGGCATTAGGCACTATTACGCAACTCTGTAAGTTTTACACCGCCTTGTAATTTTGTACAAAAGACAATGTAACCATTAGAACTACTATAATCTCATGTAAATATTAAAAAAGAGAAATTGAAAACAATGGCGTGAAACTATCACATGAAGTTGTCCTGGTTCTTTTCAAAATATACTGTACATAAGGAGACGTACTCAAAACCTGGTCTCTCCCTAATCCTAATGTCATTTAATTGAGCATACAGAGGAAAGCTGTAACAAACACGATTGGGTCCACACAAAATGTTCCGTATAGCGGTCATTTGGTACAGTGATTTTCGGTCACAGATGCACCTGTTCTGGACCCTGGCCCATTCAAACGTGTAGTGGGCTGCCCCACACAACGTTTTGGTATGAGAAATTCGGGCCACCATATTTATGCACACACAAAAACCATATTTGAATAAAAAAACAATGAAATTCCTGCATTATGTTAAATGTATGTACATCTAAGGTAGTCCTCACTGGAACCGGGATTGCAAAAATAAAATCAAGTTTTCCTTGAATCGCATGCAACATGCAGTGTGGCTACACTGGTTCCTGTCGGTGAAATGGCATTCTTGGAATGGTTGATTCATTCCATGTCATCGTCTACATCTACCAGCTGGTCATTAACCATCATGCTCGCTGATATATTCAGAGTCCTTGTTCCCACAGGATCGTAAGTCCATTTGGGATACACACGCTTGTAGAGGTTGAGTAACACCGTGTCCTGAGATTTCAACTTGCCATCAAAGATACACTTCATGTGACCATGGGTGCCTGTGTTATTGAATAGTAGTGAAGAACATTTTGTGAAAAAAAAACAAAACAGAGTACTAGTTAGAATTCACTGGTAGGACTATCATTTGGAATGCGGATGCTACATTTATAAAATGACGCACGTCCTCAAAATAGTATTAAATTAAAAAAAAAGACTTGGCTTAGATGCTTGGCTTAGATGCTTGCCTGATTGGAGTATTACCAACCACTGGCTCAACAAGGGGAGAACATGAAATAAAGCTTGAGTAACTCATGCTGTACCTCTAAGTTTAAAAAGGTTCTACAGCTTTTGGGGGTACCGGTACCTCAGAGTAAAACTTTTGAGTTTCTGCCAACTGGATTTTGGCTCCCTCTAAATATGTTAAACACGGTAAAAACAGATCACAAGATGACATTTCATGGAAACCCTTACCCAGTGGTTCTTTGATATGTCCGCGACGGCCCCATTTGGTATGCAACTCAACTGGCTTAAACCACAGAATGTCCTCTGTCAGGCAAAGAGAGTTTGGAAAGAAAGAGAAGGCACTATAAAGAACACATCTTGAAGCTGGATCGAAGCTGAATTCAAAGACGGCAACCAGTTAAAGCCCATTATTACACAGAGACCCACACTGTCTACAACATAAATACATTGTGAACCTTTTACAACGCTTTCTGACAGGTGTTTTTTGAATTCTATATTGACTGTGTGCCCTGTTAAAAAAAATGACACTAACTGTCAGGGTGGAGGCACTTCAGTGGTACTTTGCATGCATGTCTCGTCTTTGGCAGTCAACACTGGTTCATGCATGCAGCATAGAGTAGCATATGGGCACATTCAATTGCTGTTGCATCCACACAAACACCATGCAAGCAACATGGCTTGACTTTGCAAGTTGCAGGATAAGCCATTTACAGCCATACTTCCGCACTCAGGCACATGTTGAATGCATTTTTCAATTTGAGGTGCGTACATGTATGTAATATGCATTGTGGAAAGAAAAAAAAACCATGCCTTGTTCTGTGATGCATTTAGCGCATATGGGCTACAGTAATGTTTCTAATTCTTGTTGGCACATCATCACAAAATGCTTCACTCACTTTGGTGAATGCGCCACACAGTGTCTTTAACTGCTTTTCCACAAATAACCCACTGAAAATATTACAATTACGGAAGTATTAAGAGCTTTGAACAAATTTTCTCGGTGACTAGAATGGATTTTTCTTGTGAAGATACGAATCAAATTTATTTATGCAAATAATGCAACATATCATTGCATGCTTTTGATCTTCCCATTAACCATAACCCCCTAGGGTGTATGTAAAATCATATTGAAATTGGAGGAATTGGGACTGTTAGGGTTACAGGATCAATGAATGCAATAATGAAAAGAGTTACCTCTGTTGAAGAACATGTATCTGACCACAGCCTGCTTGTTGATGATCTTGAGAGGATGACCACTCAAAACAAGCTTTTTAGCGACAATGCGATCTGGATTAGCTGCCAGCAGGGAACCAGTGGCTACAAGACTGTGAGTTCCTGTTGTAACAGTAATAATGACAGTCAAGGTTTACAATGCATGCATGTTTAATGCAATGCTAAAGTATGTTTAACCACAAACCGACAACCCAGAGGGCCTGTTTCAGGAATGGCTTAAGAGAGGATTTAGTCATTCATACTTACCGTCTGTGTTTTCTTTGAACACCAACACAGTGGCTGGAGGAAATGCAATGGGGGCATAAACTGTTGCCACGACGATATCATCCTTGGGTAGAAAGCGGATATACTGCCAGGAACAATGACGGATTCGAATTTCAAGTAAAAACAATAACTGTAATATTTCCAACAACAAAGAGAAGAGACAGAAATGTGTACCCCTACCCTTACTATTAAAAAATTAATATTCATTCTCTGAAAAGTATAACTTTACAAATCCCATGTTGTTTTTATGCCAAATACAGGAGATGGTTTCTTTCATAGTATTTCAGTATAAGTAAAGAAGGCAAAAATATGTTTTGAGAGAAAGATCAATAGTTTTCTTGAGAGAGACTGAGGAAAATCTTTAAAACGAACCAACAGATGCAATGACTAACAGTACCCTTCATCATGTAAACATGGGGATATTGATTTTCTGAATGAACTAGTAAATTCTAGGAAATATCAAGTGAGCTTTTACGAGCTATCAAGTTTGGATGATTTTTTATAGTCTTTCAATCATAAAAGACCTTTCATAATCTTTTGGGCATGTGCATGATGTTCATTCATCAGTTTGAAATGAAGAGATGACTCAAATCTACTGTACCTTGTGTTTGTCACCATTTGAGTGCTGTGAAAGGATTGGACAAGCTGAGAACTGCCTGAAACCAACTTGGAAGATCAATCTCTCCTGAAAAAAAAATCATGGATAAAGCAAAATCCCTGTAGTGAATGTCTGGAAATAGCAAAAATTTTCTTCGAGGATTACTATAAACTTGTAGGAGATTCTTTGCGGCTTAATGTCCCTGATGTTGAATGTTCACAAATGTCTACATTTTACATACTTCTTCACACTGAACCCTGACGGGTTTCAGCAATGTTCGAATGTGTTGTCTCACCTTAGCTTTTACAGGCTCTGTGAAGTTATGATATCGCTTGATTGCCATATGCATCACTGACATCTGTATCAGGAATGCAAAGACGAAGTCCAGATTTTAAATGACATCCCAGGTTAGTAAGCAGTAATTTCAGTGAAATAGTTCTATGGCACTTTTTTGACTTACCCTTCTTTATGTCTGTGCTTTTTAAATGCTTTTCCTACATACTTCTTGCATATTAACCAACACAATTAACCGACTGCCGATGGTCTTATTCCACAACACACTTGTATCATGCACGTTATTTTCAGCTAAAGATCCCAACTTCTTGAATTGACCAGATACCACCACAACAGTCTTTTACATAGTTGGACTTCACAAATACTGTCCCAAGGTGGTCATCTGGTCAAGATTTGTGTGAAATCTCTTACACTATCACTTCTTCAAAACTCTGAGACAGTGTCAGGGAGCAACTTTGCTGCATTTCTTGGCTAGGGCCCATAGCAACTTGAGGGCTACACAAAAGCTCAACCTTTACAGAGTAGTTTGAACCTCTGTGTGGGTACAAACTCAATGGAAATTACTCAAGGGTGAGGTCAAGTATAGATGTTACACATACAGAATTCACTGGAATGTGTTTCCACATCCTTCGCATTACCACTTAGGAATACCCTGCATGTTAATATGCCATCTTGGATGAGCTACTTGTATACCATAAGGAACTCCTGCACCTCAAGTAAGTATGAAATTCACATTTTCTCAAAGAAAACATATCCTCACACTTCTCATACCACCACCAATTTCCAACAGCCACCTGCATCTCATTCCAAATAGCATCTCGACAGAATACATTGCTGAACAACTTGTTTTATTTTATTCTCTTTTTTTTTATATTCTTTTAATTCTTGCCACTTCCAGTAAAATTACTTTGTTATACAATGTATCATGCCACTGAATAAACAAACAAATGAGTTGACTTGACCTTCTGTTCATGTGGCAGCAGGCCAAATATGACAAGTGGACTGCTTGCTTCGAAATCATCTGCAGAGAGAAAATGATTTTGAAAGTTAGACATGGCACCTGTTTGGAAATATCAACATTAAAATTATCCACAAGATTTTTTAACATCAACAAGAAGGTTTGGAGAATTCAGAAATACTGAGATCAGTGACTGCTACTTCAAATAAGACTAACGTCCTTTGAAAACTTAGCCATAAATTTAATTTGCACTGCGGCACAATAATTTAACTGCATGAATCTCGGAAGTGGTGTAAGTTTATGACGTTTGGCAAATTACATTTGGAGGGATTCAGGATGTTTCCTTTCAGAAACTGCTGAGGTACTTGGGTTAAAAAATAAGTGGATGCAATCTGAATAACTATGCTAATCAAAAATACAAGCAACAGTAATCACTTTGTATCAAAACTACAAAATCTTTACATACACTTTGAAATTAAACTCATTCATTATTTCAAACTGACTGCCTAGCTTGTTTCTCTTCCAAAACTGCATTATCATATCACACGTGACATCTTATCTGGTGCATTTATGTATTCATAAGATACAAAATCATCACTTAAATAGGACATTTCCTTGAAAACACTGATGGCTCTTGCATTCAGTCAGATGAAGTTAAATTATGCGCAGTACTGGCCAAAAAATTGCTAGGTCATAGTCAATGAAGAAAGGATGTCTTACCAAAGAAACTTCGAGGGACATTGCTGATATGAATGGTTATGTAGTTACCAGTCTGTAAAAAAATGAACGGAGTGTTTTCCACACAATTATCTTTCTCACCGGTTTATAATATTTTTTGGGGGTCTTTACTTTGCTTTCTGATTGTCTCTCTTTATTTCAAAAACAATTTCTAGCTCTAAAGATGTGGCAGAAAACACATTAAAGCAAATAATCTGTACCAGATTTGCCTTCATTCATTTTCTGCTCATATGTTAAAGCTCAAAACTTGCATCTTGTTTTTCTGTGTGTTTTTTCATGTTCAGCAAAGTGTCGATCTACCTGAGCTCCTCCTGCTCTCTCCTCTCCAACGATGCGCTTCCGTGTACGATTGAAATTCTCAAATTGGAAGATACGGGCATAGTCTTGGGGTAGGTTCTCCTTTGGGTCCCAAGGTGATGTACGGAAGCTTTTCAGTCCTCGATACCTGGCCAAAGGGAAAGCACAAACATGTAATGGCTCTTGTCTTACAAGGACGATACTACAATAAGGAATAAACAGTAAGATATAAACTGTAAGAATCAGTTGCCATGGGTAGCTGCTAGTTCTGTAAGTTGGTAAATCATTTGACAAAATAAATATGAACACAAACTTATTTCACTGAAGGATTATGTTTATACTCTTATCACAAAACAGAGCAGTGAGCTAGTAAGCCAATTATACATGTACCTTTATCTGGCTATTGCCAAAATACTTTCTCAACAACATCTCACTTGAAAGCTTTGATATTTTTGTGAACTCATAAAATAAAACCTAATGGACTCAAGCCTCCAGTACAACCTCGCTGACCCATCTACAATGCAACCAGCTTTTCCAGTGCAAGTCACTCATTTTTCAGATTCAAATAGGGAAATTGAAAGCAGTTTATTTTTAGATCTGCCACAAATCATACATCTCATAAAATTCATCCTGGTGAAACAACAAACTGGGGCTGACGTCACCCAAGCTCAAGACACCAATTAAACTTATCCCTACTCGACAATATATGACATAATGTGATTCCTGGTTTTGCTAAGCTCACAGTATGACCATATCCAAGTAGTACTACATATATGCTGGAGGTTGCACTGTACTATGGATTCTAATCAAGGGGCTAGTGGTAGTCCAGATTCTGACTGTTATCTATCGTTTCTTCCTAGGTACATGTAATGTGTGTAGCCCGACTCAAGACATCAAATAATGTCCAATTCGGTCGATTCACAATAGTGCACCTCCAAGAGTTAGCAACTCGTTGACTGATCACAGTGTGTGAAATCTGTCTTTCCACATGCAAATTGGGTTGACACATTTCGTGCACTGTGACTGTTCAACACATTGCAAACTCTTGGAGGTGCACTATTGTGAATTGACCGTATTGCTCCTGCGAATGCTGAAGGTCAAGGGTTAATAAGTTTAACATGAATGCTACTATGTGAGTATATTATGTGTAGGTAACAATGCTCTGAAGAGCTCTTGTACAGGTATGCATGATACACACACAGCACATGTATTTGAACCAACTGGCACAGACCAGCAGTGTGTGGGTGGAATGAAGCTTCCCTGAGATTTCTGTGGGGCAATTGAGCCAATGGACTAGACTGGAACACAATACACACAGTCCAAGCAGGGGACTAAGTCAGTGGCAGAGCAAAGAGCAACATCACATGCACTAGGAGCTCACCTTGCAAAGCGTTGCCTTGCTGGTACATCCATCGGCGTATCCACTTCATCAGGGAACATGACTTGCATACGTTCCTCTCGATACTTCTCAAGCCTGGCACAGAACAATGACAAGGACATTTCTGCAGCTGATTTTATTAGACAAGAGGAATCGTTCCAACCCACATCTGTAGCACACGCCCTATCATTAATACTTGAGAGTGCGAGCACGCACAGTGTGCACATCTGTTTGTATTTGCATGCAATACCTGTCGCTATGTGTAAAGTTGGTTGCTATGGGTATAATACTTTGGTTGCTATGAATATAGTTTTGACCATGTACAGGAAGAAAGAAAAATAATGTGACTGGCACTCGGCCCATCAACATACAGAATCTGTGGGTGAGATAAATTAATAGTAGTCTAATTTACTTTTGAAGTCTGACATATAAAAAGAAAGTCTTAAAAAATCCATGTATAATATGATAATGTATACTTGTGCTTTTGAACACTTTTAAAATAGCCTGCTTCCTAATCTACTGCCTCATATCTAGGTTTAATTTGAGACTATAGAAAAAATGTTTCCATAATGCCACCAGCTATATTAATGTGCATAATAATAGGTTGAAAAACAAATTAGCTAAAACATGAAATTAGAAGTGTTCACCAGTAGCAGATGGTATTATTTTGACAGAATGTTCAAATAAAAAAAAACAAAAATTACAGTGACAACTTGTGAAACACAGTTAAATCTCTACAATATCGATTGGCTAGAGACATCTGAACAATATTTGTATGATATTTCTCACTGTAACATCATATTCTACAACACTCTTGGGCAGTCCCATGGAGTGATATTTATTACAAGACGCAGCACCTATTGAGGCATTAGCATACTGAAAATCAACAGAAGCTCAGTCTAGGCGAACTTGATGTTTTAACCCATCAGCTCATGCATCATACAGGTAGCCAAAGCATGTTTATACATCTTCCAGTGCAAAGTTGTTGATTTTCATCCCTATTGGTCTTACAATAATCTTAAAAGATGACAACATGTCTATTCAAGTATTTGCTTAGGAAGCAAGAAAAAACCCTGTTTGTTCACTTACATTGCTTTTTCTTGTTCCTCATCATAGTCAGCATCATAATTAGCCTTGTTGCCCTCGGTAATACTTATCTAGGAATAAAAAGTCATGGATTCCAAAACAGTACTTAAAATTGAAACCATAATGTAATTACCACGGAAAAATGAGAAATAAAGAAACAGTAACTATTTAAATTTTTGTGATGACTACGTACTCTTGTATACTTCAATCTAACTATTAAAATTTAAATGTTGTTTTCCAGGTGTCAGTGGCAATATCAAATATTGATAAAAACACACTTTTGATCTTTGCAAAGAAGCAATGTACTGTAAACTCTCGATCACTCAACCTTGGGGCAATCAATAAAAAATTCAAATTATCAGAAGTTTGAGAAAACTAAAGTTCCCCAGTTATTGAGTCAACATGCACATACAAGCAATATGTGCATAACTGAAACCAACTCCTTCCAGAGTGGCAACGTCTTTGAAGTTATATTCTTCTGTTTATTAATTCTAACGGCAGTGCTCAAAATTGGGCTAATCATCATGGGAGCAAGTACTCGCTCCCTACACAGCTGAATTTGTCAGTTTATGGGAGCAAGTAGCTCCCATACAATATTAAAGACATATTTTCAAGAAAATAAGGAAAGACCCTGGTTCTTGCTGTTGCTTTTGTTTAAATTAATGACACTGATAACTTACGGCTTAAAAACCTTGATCGAGTTGTTATTTTTGCGGGTTGCATGTGAGGTACAACAAATATGCGACCACCCGGAACCTCAAACATGTGCTCAGTGACACTTCGCAAAAAGTTGGGCACCAGGCCTTTATAATGTGCATATGCATACAGACGTAAAAGGGAAGTAACTGCAGCAATCGAGCATTTTGAAATGAGTGGATTAGGCTGAGACTTTGGTTTTGCTGGTTCCAGCTACTGTATTTTGGAGCATGGTTCAAAACCACATGTTCCAGCTACTGTATTTTGGAGCATGGTTCAAAACCACATGTTTCCATACAACTGTGTGTAAATTCCTGCTGTATCGATTCAGACATGGTCACTGTGTAGACCATTCAGCAAGATTGTGACAATGGCCGTGGGTATGTGTGTGTATGTTCATGTGTGCATGCATCGCATGTGAGACTGCGGCGTGCGCACAGTGACATCGTAAAAAAATTGTACTGTGTTATAGTTCCGCAACAAGGCTGATCTGAAGTGAAGTCAAAAAGTTCGGGTATTTTTCATGATAAAAGTAGAAACAAACGGTAAAAATGTTCAGGTACGTGGAATCAAATAGGAGTAAGTAATTGCGCCCGTCATTATGATTTACGGGCGCATTTCTGAGACAAACGGGTGCATTTTAGCTACCTGCGCCCGTTAATTTCGAGCCTTGTAACAGTGCACAGATTTACTCACAAATCATCGTTTTACCAAGGCTTTATTTTGTCATTACCTCAAAATTTCTTTCCTACTGATAATTAATAATTTAATGTTGTACCACCCTCTGGTAAATCTTTCATTCATTTGATACCTAGTGTTTACAGTACAAGAAGCAGTGCATACTCAGGGTTTGTTTTCAATTAGGCTTTCCTATGTATGTTTGGTCAATGGCTGCTACAGAGTCAGTGATTGGACTGCCTGCATGTGAGATGCAACTGGGTCCATTGTAGCAATCAGGTTACATGTACATGTAGCTTGAAAGCCAGCATGTGTTGTGGTTACCAGTTGGTTCCTAGAGTCAAGTGAGGAATCATGCAGTGTGCATATAGAGGTCACAGTCTGGAAAGACAATGCACGCTTGGCAGTGATGACTCGTAACCCTTGTGTGACGTTCCTTTATATACCTTTTGAAGCATTTTGCGACCGTCTTTTTTGGAGCAATGTGACGAAAACTTTGAAAGTAGATGTAGTGGTGTAGGCATTTTGAGATATGGAGGTGTTTTCATGCATAAAAGCCTATTGCGGGGATGAGGTGTAACTTTGACATAAACAGGGTTTTGACTTTGAGTTATCAAGATTTACGGAATTTGATTCCAACAGATTGGACGGTGAGGTGCAAGTGTCTAATTACATAGCAGTTTACGAAGGGTTCAACTTGAAATACTGGGGAAAATGAGACTAAAACTGGAACTCAAAAAGTGACAGTCAAGGATGTACGGGTACATGCACACTTAGTTTTACAACCAGAATAAAACTCACAGTTTCATAATCCATATCAGTGCCAGTTTGACTAGGAGCAAGTCTACCATCATCACTGTCAATTTGGGACACGGCATCTTGAAAGTCACCGTCGTCATCATCATTGTCATCACTGGTATCATCATCACTTTCACCCTAAAAAGGAAAACAGCCATTCCTTAGTGGGTTATATCCGTATCAATAATTTTTTTGCGGGGGGGGGGTTGGTATTTATCTCATCACTCCCACGGACACAAAATATTTTTGCCTTTTGTTACATAGGAAAGTGTGTTTTGGGGGCATTTATAAACTTAGCATAATGCTAAACTATTTCTGAGTGTATAACAAATGCCCATTAAGCCAGTAAGGTGATAATTTGAATTGTTCCTTTGCAGTGTGGACACCTTAGTGTAAGTATCTTGTGCATTGATTGATGGTAATGAAGATTGTGTATCAGCCATGTGTTTTCAATGCAGTGTATCACTGTGTCTGTCACTACTGGTTGGTACAGTTCACAGTCAGTTAGTGTGTTGTGTTATAGTGTGTTGCTAAAGGAGTGATTTAGAGGAAAAGTTTTTACAACTTTTATCCAAAAAACCTACATTTAGGTCACATACATAGTGTTGCACTTTGGTTGTGTCATATTGGGTTTGAGTGGTGCCTGTTGTGTGTTCGTATCAGATTTTGTTCTTGTGTACACTACACCCCATGTTATCAGGTGTATTCTGGAAGGCCAAGTCCACACAGGCCCACACTGACCTGGCATGAGAGACAGTTGTACCTTAGAATTTGGAGAATTGGGCAGTTAAGGAATTAATCTAGAGTAAGAACTAGTGAGTTAATAAACTTTAGAATCCAAACACCCCAAAATTAAGTGGAGTTGGAGTTGCTTGAATTACAGTTCTGCGATTGTGAGCCTAAAAGTCAGGGTGAAATAACAAGCTTTGTGATATTATTGGAACAAGTGCATGTTGACTCCTCTCCTCATAAAGCTGCTTGTCCTTTGGTGTCCTCAATCAAATAATTTAAGTGGACTTCCTTAATGGCCAATTGCTACCGTTACAAATAAAATAAAAATATTGAAATGTTATGAACTGTATAAAGATGTTTCTTTAGATATTTTAAGACTGTCCTTCAAGTGACAATTTTCTTTATAAAGCAGTAGTTTTAGGAGAAAAGTTTCATTGTTATTGTATTTATCAGCTTTTTTGAAAGATAAAAACATGCTTTCTATATAGATTATTTCATTTAATTAAAATTATGCTGTTGGAATAAAAATTCCTTATTCATCATGAATAAGTAACAAATTTACGTTCACCAATGGTTCATCTTCATGATCACTATCGATGATCCAGGTTGCCTGGTATTCAGATGTGCCTTTAGGAACTCGCTTTGAGGTCTTGGTGGTGTTGGCTTCCTTCAGTGCAGCTGCAGGGGGCAAAATAAGGTCAAAGGTTAAAGTTTTGGAAAAGGCAAGCAGTAATACATGTAGCTGAAGTATAAATGTCGCTCATCCTCAATGCCCAATACAAGGTGCTAGGAAGGACGTTTTACAAAATGTTTTGAATGAAATACATCCCAGATGAGTGAATCATCGTGGGCTGTCGTAATCCATGCATGAGCGCTTGGTGTGCATGTGTCACATGCATGCGGAAGTGTTGATGACCTGTGTTATTATTCAAATGACCTGTATTCAATGAGTGCATGACAAAAATGATGTCATGCATCTTGAAATAGTGGCCCTTCACAGTGCTCTGAAATCTTGAATATTTTTAAAACATAGTGTTTCCTGACCATAATCATCTTGTATGCCAGGGCTTTAAGAAGGTTGTGGAATTAGCTAGGATAATCAGTATTGGACTGGCATCCCATCTAAGGGAAAACAAGTATACTGTATCATGCCATGCCATAAGGAAACACCAAACGTAAGGTCACTGTTTCTAAGGCTACGTCCATTTAGCCTAGTGCATCAATGCAAAAAGCTAATATCACAGTCACAGAATAGCCGATTCAGATAAGACCTTACCTTCTGCTTGGGCTAGTTCTTCTTCGGTTGGCCATGTCTGTTCTCCTTCCATGGGGTCAGGGATTGCTTCGCTATCTAAACTCTCCTGCTTGGCAGGATCAGCTTGTTCCAAGACTACGACACCTTCCTCCATTTGATGGTCACCACTCTCCTTGACAAAATACAAAATAAATCATTTATACTGATTGATCCTGACCAAGCCCAGTGCTTAGAAATTGCCAGTAGAAGTGGGAGGGTGGTTTATTTTTAGAAGTTGGAGAATTACAGAACAGAATCAAGTCCAAAGCATTAGCATTTTCTAAAACATACTATCATACTTTCAATACTCTAACACCCAAATGACCAAGAACTCTGACCAATAATTATTATTGCTTATTTCCTACCACAAAAAACAATTCAGTATATCTGCCACACTTGGTTTCAAACAACCAACTCGAAATGTAAATGACGACTTTGGTGGTCTTACGCTCAATACTGAGGGCGTCAATTGCTTTTTCATTTAGGCCCATTACTACTTTCAGGTAATTTATTTGAAAGAATGAAAATTTATGCCTATGTGTTGTAACTGTCAATATCAGACATTTTTCAGGTGTCATGCTTAGGTACATGTAGTTTAAATTGTTCTGAGGAAACGTGTTCCGAGTATTCATCTTCTACAGCAGAGTGGAGCAAATAAAACACATGCAGTCTGTGTAAACTGTGAAAATATGTTTTGTTAATGAAACTTGAAGCATATCTACCATGTCCATGCTGTTTGATTCTTTTGGCTTTTTCTTTGGTACCCTTGTGGTCAAAGGGCAAGGGTCAGGGGTTGCATCAATCTGACTCATCTGGAATGACCCAAGCCCAGGTAAATGGACCAGGCCATTCACTGACAGGGGAGAACCCCGCAGGAATCCTGTGACCTTCAGAGTTCCAATAGCTTCCTGATATGAAAACAATTGCAAACAAAAGAAACTAAGTAAAGTAACAAAATAAAAAATATGTTTACAAATGATCAATTAATAGCAGAAATACCCGATCTGTACTTAGTTTTAACATCATTTGGAACTTCTTCCCTAATCAATTTTTGTGCTTGATGGAAGAAAGTCCTTTTGTAACTTTCAACCCTCCCTGATCCTTTGATGTACATGAAATTTTAAAGGAGTTTACAGTATTGAGAGAGAAAAATCCAAGCCAGTAAGTCTTCCATGGACCTGATACCATTTGAAAATGCAAACAGGACAAATGTGTTATTTGGGTTCTTGCAAAGGAATTTCAGAAAGATTTCCCTGCAATAATAGCTTGGGAGTCTCTCTCACCATACCACAGCATAATACTTAAAACAGCACAGACGCAAGTTTGAGCATCAACATTTTACAGCACATAATCATGAAATCCACTGACCTGATCTTGGTTAGGTTCAAAGTTAACAACTCTTGCCAAAAGGTGGGATCTGGCATCCTTCCATTTGATGGGCTTTAGCCTTTGTTCGGTTATGTGTCGTAGCAATAAGAGACCCTCTTGCTCCGTGTCGAATGTGTAGAGTTTTTCATCAGCAAACCTGGTCCCCCAAATCATTCGGTTTTAAGTGCATATAGACAAATTCCTAGCATCCACTGTGGTAAATCAACTACTATGGCATTCAAGGGGAAACTATTATAAGAAGGAACACAGGGGTTATTGTCCTTTAACCCTAACCCCCGTGGGTCGCTAGCCCTAACCTTCCCCATTCAAACAAAGTT